GTACACTTAAAATAAAGTAAGATATTTGAAATAACCTTAAAGCATGAAAACATTCTTGTTTCATGCATTACGCAATTATGTTATGTGGAATTTATGAGTCAAAGAAACAAAATAAAATAGAAGCAATTTCGGGTTTTTTTTTTTTTTTTTTTTTTCCAAACCCTAACCGAAAAAAAAGGGCAACCAAGCATGATTTTTTTGGATTCTGAAAACCCTAGAAATCTGAACAAAAAAAAGGGGAAATTGTTGAGTTGCGCCTAGCTGGCCCGAAGCCAAGCCAAGAGGCACCTAAACTGATCGACACACTGGGCTTCTGTCTTCAGCTCCCACTCGGCCCGCATAAGCAAGTTTTTTTTGCATTGCTGGGCTTTTCTCGGCCGGCCTTCCATCAGCCAGCAGCTGACTGGCCCTCCTCCTGCAGCTTGCCTATTTGCATGGGCTGCCCCTTGCAGCCATGATTCGAGCCCAACCTGCAGCTTTGCTGCATGCTCCTCATTTCTTCGGACAGCAGCCAGCAATTTTTTTTTTTTTTTTTTGTTGGGCTGCCATGATCTTCACGGCCCTAAGTTGGGTACCTACGGCTAAGCCTCATGTAGGCTATATTTTCTTAATTACTTGGCCCGATGCCATCTAAAGTGAATATGATCCGAAGTTATTATTTTTTGCTTCTACAATCGATCCCGTTTGGTCTCGATTTATTGAATTAATTAAAAGTGACATGCAGTCCATTAATCCGATAATGAATCCAAAATTATTGACCTGAAGATCACTTTTGGACATTAACGATTCAATAATTTATTTTTATACTTTGAATCGTTGACATACTTTCATAGTAACGAAGCTCTCACACTTGAGTTCCCGAAGAACCTCAAATCCACTACACTTAGTTGTATATTGCATTATGTGCTCTTGCAGAAACCTCTCTTTTATGAACTAAATGTTCATAAACTAAATTGAAACTGTAGTTTCAAATTTGGTGCCTTTGAAATCCGAAGTTTTCATAAAACAATACAACCATGAAAACTCGACGTTTTTCATGAAAACCATGTCTTAGAACTCGAATGTTCTAACTTTGATGATTATGGATGATTCATTCTCATAACACCGATCACAATCTTGTTCCCTCCAATTTGATGGATTGTCGAACCATCATAAGTTCGATTTCCCTTATTTGGATGTTTCTAATATAAACCACTTACTGTGGGGTACAAGACGTGAATTTCCACTTTACTATCAAGAAGCTTAGAAACCATTGACGCCAACAATGATATGAAAGAGTTGAATAAGCCTCCGCCATGATCTTTATTTGAAGACTTATGCCCAAAGCATTACAAACAGAAGTACCTCTTGAACGAGGATTCCATGGCTCTTTGGCTCGATCCTACGGACTATTAAATCATGAAAGACATTGCCTGAAGCACACCATGATTACGTCCATGAATGAGTACAATTCTGAAGTTTATAAATCCAATCGAATTTTGACTGGAGAATACTTTTCTCGTCCTTCCATGTTTCTAACTCGGTTATGAAATAGTAGTGTAAAAAACGGAAGTTTACCAAATTCTCGGATCTAATTACTACCACAAACATATGGTAGAATCAAGGCCTGCCAAGGTGTGGCATCATGCTCAAAGCGTGATCCTTGGCACCTAAGACCTAAAACTTCAAGAATAAGGGAAAATATTCCCAAACTTCAATCCTGCAAAATCTACTTCCGTATCGATGGAATAGATCATTGGTTATGCACCTGTTCGTTCCCCTACCAATGTTGTTGAGGAGTACCATTCTAGTAGTCAATATGTGAGACTAATTTTGCTCCACTGGAAGAGTAGAATTTTGATATGGATGGCCTTGTTGGCCGAATCCCCTTAGTAAACCGTTTACTTTGTGAACATTTTTCCATGTTCTTGGATTCAAGTTTGGTGTATGTTTTACTTATGGATAATCTTATTGATATTGTCCTCGAATATAAGTTAATTGAATCATGTTTCTTAATACATGTGACCGATTCAATTAAACATGTGATGGAATGTGGAAAAGTTAGTTGTTTGGATGAATGTGTACTAGGCACACTAACCTTACACCTAAATCGCATCTCTAACAACGACTTTAGGTTTATCCAACCTGATTAAGAGCATTGGCACGCTATTCATTGTATGAATGGTACTGAATTACCATTCAAGGGACCTTAAATTCTCCATGTCGTTGAGTTCTTAAGGATATTCGAGAGAACAATGATCATAAATGAAACCACTGAAGAAAATATAATGGAATATATTTGCACCACCTCCAAAAATGAGCCTGAAGCTTTGATTTGGGGCCAATGGGTTGTCTCCCAATTGGGGTACGTGCCACATGTGGCCGGCATGGAGCCGGGTGCTTCGAGCAATTTACTTGTATTACGACCATTTTGGGACATTTAGGTCGAACAATGATGCCGCGACGCATCTCTTTACTTGAAGTAAGAATCTTGTGCCTACAAGCACACTTTGCCAAGCCTGCTCCTTAGGGAAATTGATTTTCTAAATCATCATTCGCAAAGATACGAAATCGCCCTTTTCACAATGGATTCAAGGGAATATATGTGGACTAATCCAACCAAAATGCGGACCATATAAATACTTATGGTTTTGGTTGATGAAGCAACAAATTGGTCACAGGTTTGTCCACATACATTGTTGCTAAACCCCTTGCCGATTAAGGGTTCACCACCTTACTTATCCCTTAAGGTCCGGGAGTCTGGATAATGCTGGAGAGTTTATATCGATAATTTTTTGATAAAGTATTGCATGTGTTTTGGGTTTATAATTGAACATTGAATTCTCATGTTCACCCCAAATAACCTCGCCTAGTGATCATAAAGAGCAATTTAAATGTTCGCCTAGATTTTGGTAAACGTACCAAATTTTTAGTTTTTGCCTAGGGCTATGCAATCTTGTACGCAACTATGTTGGTCCGCCTTGAGGCCCATTGCCACCTAACCATTTTGACGTTACAATTGGTTACTGGGTACACCCTGATGATTTTCGTATTTACGCATTTGGGTGTGCATTCCATGTGCCAAGTTGCGCCGCCGCAACGTACCAACATGGGTCTTCAACAAAGGATGTTAATTTTTGTCGATTATGATTCTCTTTCACACTAGCTCTCTTCAAGCCCTTGCATGCGATCTCTTTACCGCTCATTTACGGGTTGTCATTTTAATGCAACAGTCTTCCCGCCGTTAGGGGGAGATAAAAACGTCAACATTCCTGGAGAACAGACGTTGCCCACTATGTCTCATCTCGATCCCTATATTGCATAAGTGTGATAAGCAAGTGCGATAAATTCTAGTTTTCAGAATGTTGCTCGAAACGCATTCCTCTGATCTAGCTAAAGTGGCGAGATCATATACCAGCTGCAAACATGCCTGCAAGGATAAACGTACTTAATGGACATCGAGTCAACATCCCTGGAGGGTGTGCTGCCCTTGTTGGACAGTCTGGTACACTGATGGATAGCCAATCAATCTGTCTTGGCCTGGAGCATGACAGATCACTCGCTTCGTAGGATTCCCTTCCCTAGAAAAGGAAGACAAGGCACAATAATGAATCTAAACTCGATCGTTGTCTCAAATCATTTCCATCTCATGAGATTTATCCGGATTACTCTTGAGATTTGAAGTTCGTGGTCCGGTATACTAGTTTGGATGAGAAAATAAGATTACCATCGATGATGTTTTCACTTTTATGGTAGCTATTGACATAAATGAAAGGCGACGATATTGAACCGTGTTCCATTGATTAAGTGACAACGTAGAACTGATTGGACAACTGAAATTACAATCCAAGTCAAATTCCTTACCAAAATGTGTTTTGGACCTGTCGTTTCTATACTGCCCAAGGTAACCCTATTGTGTTACAAGTGGGAAATGAAGCTTTATGAGATGAATGAAATAGTGCAATGCCTTACGGCACAAGATTTCTCTCAAACGTCCTACGATTGATAGCAGCATTATGAAATATGGTTAGTGTTTTCTCTATGGGGATATAGATACGGAGATTTACATGTAAGTTCCCGAAGATTTACATGTGTTTTCTCCATGGGGATAAATGTTGGACTTGGTTGCTTATATATTTTTTTCTTAATCTCCTGTTCTTACATGTGAACATTCTGATGTTTTATGTATCAGATGGTTCACAAGAAGCGCGTGGAAAAGAACAAAGGAAGACACAATAATAGAGGTGAAGTTCTATATCTCTTGTTTTAGCGATTCAAGCTTTTAGTTAATTCCGATTGAAGCTTCTTTCATCTATTCTTTCACCACTGTCCTTCATTCCCACAAATTTCATTCCAAATTCCGACCCACTCCTTTTTTATGTTTTGGTTTTGGAATGCAACTCTTAATAAGTGTAGGTTGCAGATCGAATTTGATTATTTATATTTCACTCAGTTGAGGCCTAATATTTGACATCTCCGTTTGATGTTTCTGGTTTTCCAATTTTCAGCTCAAAAGTGCATATGCCATTTCTAAATTAAGAAAAAAGGGGTATTCAAAGAATCTATTCTACAAAGAAGCAATAAACTTATACAAGGAGGTACTTCCTCTTTTTCTTCGAGTGTCATCTCTCTAGGTTTTATGCGTTCTTTATTTTTATAAATAGTCGTAATAATAGTGTATTTATGATTTTTCATAAATACACGGAGGTATAATTACTTCTAATTGAAATAAATATTTCTTATGTTCTTGCGTCTTTTCGTCCCTTCAAGTTTGTATTGCTTCTTTCAGTTGCATTCTTTGAGTTTCTTCCCGTAGCTAATCTATTCACCTTCTTCTCCAGATAAATACTCTAATGGCAAATGGGGACAAAAATTCTTTAAGGAAAACAGTTACAGAGAAAATGTTTTCGGTATGCTTCTATACTTTTTAGTTTCTCTTAAGCTTTATTTATGCTGCTTTTTTTTATGTAAAGGAATTTCTATTGAAGTTGAGCCATTATGTATGATCTTCTTGTTTTCAGGAACTCAAGAATGAAATAAAACAAAGAGACTCAATATGGAGTAAGGTTTTCTGGGAAATGGTGGAACAAGTTGTAAAAATACGAACTTTGCGAGCACGACTGGTAAGTGTCTGTCTGATTAATATAGATTGTGATTTATGCTATGCAAACACTTCACCATAACGGAAAATGGGATTTACTCATGTTGAGATTATTTGGCTGAATTCTTGATGCTGACCGTTTCGTTTTAACTTTTAACTGCTTAGGTTGAAGAAACTTTTTCATTTTTATGCTTTTATGTATAACACATTTGTGAATTCAACCACTACCAGATGTTCATAACTTTACCATGGTTTGCAGCTGGAATTATATCAGATTATCATCTATTGATCACAGAATCTGACTAATTTGGCATTACCAGTTAATCAAATTTATTATCACGAATGTATTATCCTTTTGTTTCCCTTACCTATGTTTGGATGAGGGAAATAAACTTAGAATTTAGGTAAAAGTTATAATTTATAAATTGACATGTATTAATTCATTTGTTTGGATTCACAAACATATAAATTTAGAATTTCCACGTGGAAAATAATAACTTGGAATGTAGGACCTCCAATTCCCAAGTTTAAATTCCATGTAAATAAGTGTCAATTCTCAATTTATATGATTGAGAGTTTAAAAATAACAAATTTTGTATTCACGTTTTTTAGGTTAACCAAACAAGAAAATTCACAAATTCTAGAAGATAAAATCCTGTCATTTTAATTTTCATCATTTTAAAAAGGAAGTGTTATTGGCACTCCAAAAATCTCATTCGACACTCCTCACAAGTGTATTATTCTTTCTAAATATAGAAAGTTTGGAGTGTAGAATGAGATTTTTGGAGTGCCAATAATAATTCCCTTTTAAAACTCCTTAGTAATTTTAAATTTCTTTATCCAAACATAGTGTTAAAGTTTGGTAATTACCATAAAATTTACTTGTCTTCTAATATTCTCAGAAAATGTGCACAAATATATGGAACCGGTTACAAACTTAAACAAACATATGTAGAACTGGACGATAATAAATAGACAATAAGGCGACACTGAAACTATGGTTTATATATGGCTTATTGTATGTTTAATACCTATCAATTTTGTTTATTAAAAATAATAAATGATACTATTTACGCATATTTTCCAATATTTTTATGACAAGAAATGTTAAGGAGATTTAAAAGCAAGACTACTTAAGGACTCTCTGCCATTTTATGTTTTTGGCATAACATTGACCCGAAAACTAATATTAAATTGTACGTTGATAGAAAGTCTATGAAGAGTTTTATTTTGAGAGACTTTCTTAACTTTCATTTTATCAGTTCCTATTCGAATACGTATGGGGCTGAGAAACTTTAGGTTTAAGATTTCAGTCTTTAAAGTAAAGAAATGAATTGGATCTCATTCGGATCCATTTTGGGGGGATCTTAGAGATCTCTATATTTTAGTTATTCATTGTGTATCGTGCGGTCAGAAATCATTTGATTTTTTTAATTTAAAATTAAACACAAATAGTATCTTATGAAAATTGGTCGTACGATGTACGATAAACGGTTAGAATGTGTAGATCCCTAAAATCCCCACAAAGTGGATCCGGAGAATATCCCTAGAGTCCCCCAAAACATTTACAACTTGGTTTGCAATTGACACAAGGACAGTAATAACTGGGTAGATAGGACGCGGATCCCCTTTGAACCCAAAAAATCTACGCCTAATGATCAAATGATCATGATCATTGAAATTTGATCCAACTGCTACAAACAGGGGCTCTCTATAAAAATTATAATAATTGTAGCCGTTGAATCAAATTTTAATGGTCTGAACCATTTGATCCTTGGGCTCATATTTTTTAAGTCCGGAAGGGATCCCCGGTTCCGGGTAGATATTGAATATGTCTCTCGTCTGAAGCTGATGCTGCCCAATGCCAAAGCCACTTAGGAAAATATCTATGAAACAAACCTTATGACTGAACAAGCTATTTCTTCAGCGGTCCGGAAAGTATTGTGGGAAAAAATTAGTGAAGATTGACTCTAAAAAATTGAAAAGTGAAGATTGTTAGAAAAGTCGCGGAAAACTAACCCCTCATGGGAGTGACACAGTCGTGAAATTTGAAAATTTGGGGTGTTTTGGAAGGAAGTAGTGGGTGAGGTGGTCTTGCGTCCCAAGCGGTGGAGTGTACGTATTAACTTAAAAAGGATTAACTCAGTTATTTTAGTGGGAAAAACTCCAAAAGAAGGAAAAAGAGCACCATATTCATGTTTATACCAGGGTGGTTCTTCAAACCAATAGCACTCCATGCCAAATATGTAATGAAACACGGGCCAACCGATGAGCAATATTATTAGCTTGACAACGAATAAGAGAGCCATGAGTTTGAGTCATGATACATGTTAATTTTTTACGATAGTGAGTGATGAATAAATTTGAATCCATATCTTCTAATTCATAAGACATAAAAGTAATTTAGTGACTTTTATGTTGTTTATTAGGTCACACCAACGTTATTAGCTTTTTAAGATCTTGTTATCTTCTTGGTACTAACTATTCCAATTAGGGATTCTAACGACGCTACTTTTTGAGATTAACATCTAGACCGAAGTTAGAGTAGCTTTTAATTAGTATATTACTTTAGAATTTTTTAATAGTTTTATGATCACTTCAACGGTTCAACCCAGTGAATTTTATCAGTTCCTTCTAAGATTTGGAGAGATTTGAACTGTGTTTCCAAAACACGACTTGCTACATTAAAAATCATAACACAAGTGGTTGAATATTTAGAAGAAAAAAATTACAATTACTTGAATTATTATATTTAATGTATTCCCAACATACTAAAAAAAATTTCACAGATTTAAACCATGTCGTCAATGTCGCGTGTGAATAAAGATATCTTGGGCAGCCTTTCTCAGACGCGAGCAGATATAATATGATTTTCTGCAAAGCAATATTCAAAGTAACGAGAACCTTGCTTTGACTGCAAGCTACTTCAAGTTTCAGTCGCGTGTATAAATATAGGGTTTGCAATACTCAAATAACAAACAAACCCTGATTCCACGGAAGGTTTTGAAGAATGGATGCAAGAGAAGACCAGGCCTTTCCACTGGGAATTCTCCAGAGGCTCTTCAACTTTCTTATGAAAACCATCGAAGCGCAATCCCTCAAGACGGTGACTCTAGGCAAGCACCATCCTACCGGCAAATACTTATTTATCAACGAGGTACACTCCTTGTGAGTATAGCACCCATCACAAAAATATGTGATAACTCAGGCGGGAATATTTCCGGTGACATGCAGAAATCTCCTCGTTCAATGAGTCGTGCTCAAGCCAAAAGCAGTTTAAGGATTCATGGTGACAAGCCAAAAGATTTCATAGATAGATTATTCATGATTAGTATAGCTAAGTATATTATGCATGCGATATGCATGTTTATTGTCAAACATTTTATACAACTGATTGAATTAAAGTGTCCTTAATTATTTTTCTGTGTGTTCAACTGGGTTGATTAGTTTGACTCAGGAATATATTTTCATGTCTTGCCATCCAAGTTAGACCTGGAATTTTGTTTTATCAATCAAATATTTTTAGCCTGCAGAGATCGCTGCAACAGGAACTAGTACCACGCAATACTACTATTAGCGAGATTGTCTCGCTCCTCAAATTTCTTTCTAATTCATTGAATTTTCTATATTAAGTTTATGGAATCTTCGTAATCGTAATTGTAATCTTCCAGATAATGAACTTAATTTAGAAAATTCAATGAACCTAATCTAGAAGATTACAAAGAAATTTTAGAAGGCGAGACAATCTTGCTAATAACTACTCCTGCCTGTTTTCTTAGGTTGAATCGGAACTCCATCTACGCTTACGCGAGACAATCTTGCTAATAACTACTCCTGCCTGTTTTCTTAGGTTGAATCGGAACTCCATCTACGCTTACGCAAAACCCATTTCCCACTCATGTGAGACCTACGATGGTGTGGAAAATTGAGTCATGTAGGAGCATTACTATTATCCATCTAGTTTGAGTACATCCACCCGTAGTTCTAATTGAAAATTTGGTATAACCTAAACGAAATTGAAAATTTGGTGCCATCTAATAAGTTAAATTAAAAAAAAATGATAATTATTAATCAGGATGTGTTTGTTTCTTTGCATCATATTTCATATCTCATTTATGAGGATTAGAATAATTTAAAATATCGAGTTTGTATAAAAAAAAATTAGAAAATTTGTCTAATAACTAGCATTGTGAGCCCCTATTATATTTAATAGCGTGCTACATTTTTTTTTTATACTTGAAAAGAATTCAACCACAAATTCACATTAAATATAAATTTTCTACTTTTTTTTATATCAATAAAATTCTATTTGTACCGTTGAGATTTTCTTAATTAAAAAAAAAAAAGAAAAAAAAAAGGATCTCAAAGGAGGATTAAAAATACATAACTTTATCTTGTGGTTTAAGAGCCCAAGCTTCATCATACCTTGACGGAACATCATGAAATAACAGAATAATTACCAAAAGTAGACTCTAATACTTGTGTTAGGGTGAGTCCAAATTATAATAGTAATGTAATTCTATTTTTTTTTATATTTTTAGGTTTTTATTCCGTACAAATTTGCTTTGCTCACCACGAGAAGAGATCTAGAGAGGATTTCTTCCACCAAGACCATCGGATGAAGTGATTCATGCCATTAAAATTTCATCCAACGACTAACCTGTTTTGACCCCTTAAAAACTATAATAATTTTTTTTCGTTGGATGAAATTTCAAAGATCTACATCACTTGATCTCGTGACCTTGATAAAAGAGAACCAAAGAGGATCTCCTCTCGCTCACCACACCTACTAGGTTAGGTGGTGACCGTTTTCACGCTCTTAAATCGCGCCACGTGTTTGTAACTTAACTATAATCACTTAACCTAATAAGCAGCTTATAAACCTGCCTATCAGACTTGTATCAGCAGATCTTTTCTTGCTATCCTCAGTTTCGTATTTAAAGATTATAGAGTAAATTAAAAATGAACAAAAATCGTATTCAGAGATCTAAGAATGTTAAATGATTTGGTGGAATTCATTGCAATTCAAATGCAATTTGGATTATTGTTTATGGGAGTAAGCCAAATATTTGTATAGAATACATGAAACCAAAAAAGACATTATTAGCGGATGTCGTTTTACCACAATGACGAAAATCAACATGTTTATGCACCATAATTCGATTTTTTTTTTTTTTTTTTTTTTTTACAAATTCTCTTATTTTTAACAATTAACTATTTAAATCATTAATACTATCGGTTCCGGTTAAAAAATGCATCATAAGAGTCATTTACGAAATTAACCATAACAAAAAAATTATAATCAATTATTATCATGATGACGAACAAGATGCTGTAACGAGAATACAACTACACGCAGCCCATAAAACCTTAAATTAAACCGTAACATTAAAAAATAAGAAAATTAATGAAAATAATTTGAAAACTTTAAGTTTTAACGATAAAGACAAAATAAAAAGTAAAATAAATAATATCAGTTGACTTTTTAATAATTTTTTGTTAAAATAAACAGTATCATAAGATTTTTTTTTAAATTCCCTTAAAAAAGTATGAAAACTTTAGCACTGAATTTGGATACGTTCGTGGGAAAAAGGCATGGCTGGTATGCGACGCATCCTAGGTTCTACGATTTTAAAGCCACTTCTAAGGCCACCACCCAAAGGGGTCAAACATGGGCACTTCATATTCTTCATGCTATCATTCCACCACACTCTGTACTCACTCCCTCCTCATCTCACACCGCAAAGCCTCTGCCTTTAATCCATCCAGATTCCCAAATCCCAGTTTCAAATTCCATTCCACAGACCAAATCCCCCAGACCCATCTGAGGATCATGTCCGAGAAACCCTCTCAGGTTTTGGGTGGGAAAGTTGAAGTTGGGGAGACCCAGGAGGGAGTTTCCAAAAGACCCATGATTGATTTTCATGGGATTGATGAGGGGCTGGTGGAGAAGATGGTGTATGATGCTCTTGTTTGGAGCTCTCTTCATGGGCTTCTTGTTGGTGACAAGTCTGTTCAGGTTTGTGGGTGTTCTTGCTCTCCTGAATCTTTGGCTGGTTTTGAACGGATTGGAACAATAAAGTACGAAAAATTGAAGGTTTTCTGTCTTAGTTTTAGTTTTTAGTTGTCGAAGAAGTGTGTTAGCTTGTTGAAAAATGGGAAATTTGATCAGCATGTATTGTAGAAAATTGGATTCAGATATCTGAGAATTCAATTTAGTTTTAGTTTATTTACTTTTAATTTTTTTTCCTGGAATTTTTTTTTGTTTGTAGTTGTGTGTGAAAAAGAACTCCTAGTTTTTTTTTTTTTTTACCAAATTTAAAAGCTTTTAGTTGCCACAAGCTATGGGAAACTCTTAATCTGCATTAATTATGTGAAGGTATAACTTAAAGCCTTATATTTGATTGAATGCTGTAAATTACAGAGATCAGGAAAAGTACCTGGTGTAGGCATGGTACATGCACCGTTTGCTTTATTTCCGATGCCATTTCCAGAAAGCCATTGGAAGCAAGCATATGAGTTAGCCCCCATATTTAATGAACTTGTCGATCGAGTGAGTTTGGATGCAAAGTTTCTGCAGGATTCACTGTCCAGGTACTTTTGCTTATACCTTTTAGATTAAGCGTGTGATTTGGAAAATGAGCAAGCTCACAGTTTAGCTTAAATGAACCTAAGAACGCGGGTTAGTGCAGCCAAACCCTTTTGTGTGTCTCCCCAACTCGGGGAAACTTGGCCCTAACAACCTTAGTTTGAACTTTAACAATTGTGTATGGGGATAAGTGAGAAAATCAACTTACATGACGGTTGTAGTGTTTATCTATTGGCTCTAGAGATTAGAGCTTATTCCTGGTCTAATATAATCACAATCTTCACATCACAGAATGAAGAAAGTGGATGCTTTTACATCTAGACTTCTAGATATTCATTCCAAGATGCTAGAGATTAACAAGAAAGAGGTAAAACTATATATCAATGTAGCATTTGGAGATCAATTATTGTGAGACGAGAACTTTATTTTCGTAGAATGAGTTGAATTTCTCTAAACTTTTTTTTAATCGCTGAAACAGGACATACGCTTGGGTTTACATCGCTCAGATTATATGCTTGATGAAGAAACTAAACAACTCCTTCAAATAGAGATGAACACAATTTCAGCTTCATTTCCGGGACTCGGTTGTCTTGTTAGCGACCTTCACAGGTTAACTTATAACTTATTGGATATTTTGCAAATAACATGTATTCAGTGGTTTGTTTATGAATTTCTGACTAGTCAATGTAATGCTAGGTTCAACTAATGAAAATTTTCCTGTATATTTGATTGTGTGTATATCTGTTAATATTCTCATATTTCCAATGCCAAAAGATTAAGCCCAAGATTACCAATTATTTACAATTAGCCTCTATTTTCCAGGAGCTTACTTAATCACTATGGAGAATCTCTTGGATTAGATTCCAAAAGAGTTCCTAATAATCCTGCAGCCACTCGGTTTGTAGAGGCTTTGGCTAAAGCTTGGATTGAATACAATAACCCCAGGTTAGAACTGAAACAATATTTCATTTGTTTCCTTCTGCTGCTGCTATATTCAATGAAGCGATTAAGGGTGCATTTAACTTAACATATACATACAGGGCCGTAATCCTGTTCGTGGTTCAGCCTGAAGAGCGGAACATGTATGACCAACACTGGCTTTCTGCTCTGTTGAAAGAAAGATATCCTCTTTAGCTTTAAATAAGCTTTCATGTTGGAGAAAATGGTATTTCTTGGAAAATATATAATTATCAACTATATGCTTATATCTTTAGTAATAAACTAGTTAACAGAACTCATGAATAATGTTCCTTAACTGTATAACACACATAATGTATCAACTCTTCGGAGAACGTTGGCCGAAATTGATGCAGAGGGGGAGCTTCAACCAGATGGAACACTCGTTGTGTATGTACCCTTCTAGATTTGTGGATCTAGCATGTTATATCTTTGACTTTGATATCTAAAAAAGCTTCGAACTTGCAGGGGTGGCCAAGAAGTTGCAATTGTTTATTTCAGAGTTGGGTATGCACCAATCCATTATCCTTCTGAATCAGTAAGCAAGTCTTACACTTTCCTGCTACTCAAATACTAATTCTGTTTCAAGAATAGTGGAACATTCTTCCTTTTAGTGGTGAACATCTGTTGTTCATTAGCAGAAAATGTAGTTACTTATCTGCAATAAGGGTACAAAGTAGATGACCAAATTTCTAATCCGTAGTCATATGTATTTATCCTATGTCTGTTCGGGGGTGAATTTGGTTGGTTAATCCTGCATTTTTTTTTAGGTTTGTAAGGGCACAGCGACCACGTCTGCTTGTATGTGTCTTTATTTTATCTAAACCTGAATTGAATAATTTCTATGCATCTATCTTGGCCGTGTAAAACTTGTAATTGCCCATTACGGTTCTTTGTTGCTTTGAAAATATGCTTAAGATGGCACTTAACGCATTACTCATAAAAGGAAAAGGATACTTCAATCGCCTAATATAACCTCAGAATATGATGATATGGCTTTTAATACGATGTTCCTCAATTTATAGGAGTGGAGAGCAAGGCTCCTTATGGAGCAGTCATCTGCCATCAAGTGCCCCTCAATTTCTTATCACTTAGTCGGGACCAAAAAGATTCAACAAGAACTTGCAAAGCCTAATGTTCTTGAGAGGTATTGCTGGATCAAAACTCCTTCCATTTTTTTCCTCGGCATTGTATGAATCATAATTTTAGGGAAGAATGGTTACCATTGTTACAACCAGTAACGTCATATCTTTCTATCATCTTCACGTGAGCAGGTTCCTCGATGATAAAGAAGACATTGCAAAATTGCGGAAATGCTTTGCAGGATTGTGGAGTTTGGATGACTCGGATATTGTCAAAAAGGCAATAGAGAGCCCTGGGTTATTTGTTATGAAGCCCCAAAGAGAAGGCGGAGGTAAATGGTTTAAACTTTGCTCTACTGTTGTTGTAATGACAAGTGTTATTGACGAGTCATTGTTACACTTCAGGGAACAACATCTACGGCACTGATGTAAGGGAAGCCCTCACAAGATTGCAGAAGGAAGGATCAGAAGCAGATGCTGCTTATATCCTAATGCAGAGGATATTCCCTACTGCTTCTCACACATTCTTGATGCGCGAGGGTGTATGTTATAAAGATGATACCATATCTGAGCTGGGGGTATACGGTGCTTACTTAAGGTATACGACTTTTATGACTAAATCTTCAGGTTTCTGTTGTTTCCTTTTTTTCCTTCTCTTTATTTGCACAGGTACAATCCACTTCTGTCGGCATTGTTTATACTGTGCGAATAACAGCTGTACCAAAGCGTGGAATCATAGTGCCACATTTTTCATTGATGCAGGAACAAAGATAAAGTGATCTTGAACGACCAATGCGGCTACCTGATGCGGACAAAGGTTTCCTCATCAGATGAAGGTGGAGTTGCAGCTGGATTTGCGGTCTTAGATAGTTTATATCTAACCTGAAGAAGCCAGCTTCCTAGGTATGCTTAAATGGGTTAATTGTAGAGCCAAACAGTTCGTGATCGATTTATTTACTCATACAAAACATATTCGCCACAATGTTCGAGATAGTACTGAGATCTAACAAGCCAAAGAACGCTTTTGTGTATTTTTTTGCATTTTTCTCTTCAATTGTATGCAAAGCGCATTTTTTTCGCAATTATTTTTGCACTTTTGTGTACAATTTCTTCTTGCCACTACTTTCTTAATCGCATTCAAAATTTTGGATATGATGGATAATATGAATTCATTCTCAAAACGATGAAACGTTAGTAGAAAATTCATATCCACAACTAACGAAAAAGATTATACGAAAATTTCATGATGACTTCATTCAAGAGTATGCTCTTTTATCGTTCCACCCGAGCTCCCGAGCTCGTTTCTCCCATGCTTCCGAAAGCCTAAGCTCTTCTGCAAGTTCTGCTTCTGCCCTCTCCCTTGCTTCTTCACAAGTTTCGACTCCTACATTACATTTTTCTGCCTCCCTTTGGAAGAGTGAAGAGACTTTCCTAGCCCCCATTAACGCTGCATCGGCCCGTTGCAGGGTTTCGTTGGCGACGGTTTGCTGCAAACTTAGCTCTTCCGACATCAAGGCGATGATGTCCTTCTCCATCTCCTCTTTCATTTCTGGTTCATGTTTTCCGCAGTCTGCAAATTAGTGAAAGATATGACATTGACAATGTTTTTCGTCTGAAACATGAGAGCAAGTTAGCTACAGCAGGGATGCCACTGAGACAACATTACACGCCAATCATGCACTTCTATGAGTTTTCATTTTACCAAGTGACAACGGTGATTGACTTGAGATACAACTACAGTGGCATCACGTATAACTAAATTTTCACACAAATGGATGCATGACAGGTGGTTAAACTGACCTGAAATTGAGCTATTGATAATATCTGGTTAAGTAAGAAATGAAAACAAAGGTTAATTAATATATATATGAAATATTTCCAAAATAAATTCCAATATAATCAAGAAAATCAGCGTAAATCTATAGTGCTCCGGTGTAATCTTTAGTGATGACTGGACTCGCGTGTTTTAATCTAAACATTTCAATCTAACTGTTCATAAAACAATTTATCACATACACCAGTGTACTGTAGAACGACCCGATTTCAATACTACTTTACAATTTGCTCAACAAAACCAAATCGAGTGACATCATGTGTTCTGCTAAAAATAGCAACATTTCTACATTTGGGGAAGTGAATCTCACCTACAGGTGCGGAATCGAAATCTGTTGAACAATCACAAGGACATTGCGGACACGAACTGTTCTCCTTCCAGCTCCAGTACAACGTTGGACGTACGACAGCGTACCCGACCAGCCACAAACCTACTAACACAAAAACCAGCCTCAGAACACCATTACTGCAATTCCCATGTTCTGTCAGATGAGCCATCAGTTTCCAGAACAAAACCCAAATTTGGTTTGATTCCGAAAATGCAGGTTGCCCAAGATCAGATATCAAAAACCCATTTGAGGATTTCAATAAAGCTTCGACCTTTGATTGCTGGCGTCTGGGAGTGTGTGCAAAAATTGGACAATATCCAATCAAAGATGCCCACTTTTGTTTCAGGTGGAATTTTGATCTCTGTGGGTGTGTGAAAGACAACCTCTGCTTTTTTGCCGAAATCAATGAGACCTAGCTCCCGGTAAAGTGTAAAGGAGTAGAGAGAGAGAGAGAGAGAGAGAGAGAGAGCTAGTGTGAGAGAGGGAAGATACTGTTTACGAGTTTGGGTTAAATAAGAATGCTGCTTTACCCTTTAATGATGGTGTTTGGTTGAAAAAAGGACACATCTGTTTTGTGAAATATGCGGTCTGGCTAATGTTGATAAATCACATGTGACTCTCAGCCACGCATATTCTTGTATGTAACCGGTTTTATTTCGCTTATTAGTGTCTCTCTTATCACATGACATCTTATATTAGTATCTCTTTCATTACGTAACACATTAGTATCTTTCTCATTACGTGACACGTGTTGCATGAACAGAAAAACACCAAGGGAGCACGCCAAACTGGGAACGAACATGTACTTATCACTTTCGTGTCACATAAAAAGAGAGAAAAGACAAGCACACCGGGTACAAATATGTGCTTCATTTCACTTGTTTTGTTCAAATGGACGATATTCTAAATTACTCGTGCAACGGGACGAGCACGCCAGGAACAAACATGTACTTCACTTTCCATACTCTTTGAGCATGCCATTGCATGTGCTAGTTTTGTACCTGAATTTTCTGTATTGTAAATTATAATTTGGCAGTTAGTTCAATGCAATTAAAAGATACACCAAATAAAATCTGTTTTACAAAGAAAATTTCCTATGCATAAACTGATGTTGCTAATTTCTACTTCCAACATTCAAGAGATAACTATGAACATACAACAGTTAAGTACAAGGTCAAATCAAAAGAATTCCCAACCCATATGCTAAAATAATCAGTTTGGTTCAAGAACTGCAATTCGTTTGCGGAATTTTTTCATCAGTTTCATGCCAGATCTCGTCACCGTCACCGTTGTCTTCTTCCGACTCAGCTAGTTTGTCGAAAAAAGCATCGAGGTACCAGGGGCAACGTTCGTTCCAATCGCCCCTGTTGGCATGGGCTCGCCACTTTTGGTCGGCTATCATTTCGGGTGATAGACCCCATTCTTGCAGTTCTTCCTCAGTGTGATGAATTGCTAAGCTGTACTCTCCACCCTTTCCTAATTGCATCACTCGAAATTCACAATTCCCAAGGTTGTTTAGGTGCTCAAATTGCTCGACCGTCCACTTGAACCACTTCATGAGGAAGACGCGTGATGTTAGCCCATGTGATATGATTATGAGATTGAGGTCATGGCAAGGGTCATGGCGATGCCTGTTCATGTCTATGTCCCTCCATAAGGATTCAAGAAAACCTGCAATCATCTGTCTCATTAGACAACATGAAATATGTAACACCAAACCCTTTATGCAGCAATCAAATGCACAGATACACAGGAATTTCTAAACCTCCATATATTCATCTCATCACGAAGAGAGACGTCAAACTGACAGTACAATTCAAAAGATGCATATGTGTAGAACCCAGTTCCATCAATTTAACATGTACAGAATTCTTAAGGATTTGTGTTCGGGTTCATATAGTTGCAAAGTGTAAGCATTGGTTATGTTGCGGTTCAATTAAATCGGACTTCAATTTACAGCTCTTGTCCTCCTCCACTTTTAAACCATGAATCATTCTCTTCAAAAACCTCTCATTTGCAAAACAATACTTTAATCATCATCATTTTTAACAAAAGCGATATTCTAAACTACTCAAACTACAAGGAGGCGTGTTCAAACTAAGGTGCAAAAGGACCGGCACACCGCTAGCCAGTTTGCCTAACCACACATGCATACTTCAACTATCATTTGGCATTTGCCCAATACCATTCTCTAAACAAAAGCATTCAATCATAAGATTCATAATATACACCTCCAAATGGAAACCCAAAATTCAGATAGCACCTAACTCTCTTTCTAAATGCAAACATAGGTTAGGCAAAGTTGGCCGCGGCAATGCGCCCGCCTCTTAGCACCTAAGTTCGAATCCCCCAAACCCGCAGTTTAGAATATCGCCTTGTCAAAGTTCAAGCATTTATTTTAGATTCCATCACAAACCTTACTCTTACTTCTAGAGTAGTACTAAAACCCAATTTTAGCTAAATGTTTCACCAAATTCCAAACCACCAAACAACAAAAACAAACTTAAAGTTTTGAACTTTACTACAAACAATCAAAAACCCCATCTTGGGTTACTTCCAAAATGCTCAATAAACAAAACCCAAAACCAAAACGTAAGAAAAGAACCAAAAAAAAAAAAAAAGCGAAACGTACTCGAAACGCGATCGTAGACGTCGGCGGCGGACTCCCCCTCCGGAAACCGGTAGAAGAACCGGCCGAACCGCTCCCTGGTCTCCTTAATGGCCTTCATCCGCTCCTGCACTTGGAAGTTCCCGAAATCCTGCTCCCGTATCCGGCACTCCTCGCGGACCCCGATCACACGTTTCCTGGAGAAGGACCGTCCGATCTGGCTGAGCGTGGAGCGCGTCCGCTCGTAAGGGGAGACGTAGAAGCAGACACGCCAGTTGGGGCTGGCAGCGCCGGTGGCGTCGGAGACGACGCGGTGGATCTCGGCGCCGGCGAGCTGGGCCTGGGCCAGCCCTTCTTGGGTAAGTGGGATTTTGTTGTCGGGGGTGGTGGTGTAGGCGGCGGTGTCGAGATTCCCTTGGGACTCGCCGTGCCGCATTAGGATTATCCGCTTCGGTAGAACTGGCTGTAATCTGCTCTTGCAATTTTGTTCCTGCATTTTAAGATCTCTCTCTCTCTAACTATCTCAATCTTAATCTCTCTATAAGATTTTGAGTGTAGAAAATGGAATTGAAAAATCAGAAATTCAAACGATGAAGTGTGACAACGTTGGCATCTGGTTTTTCACTTCCATAATTTATAGACTCTTTCTAGTTCTTTTCACATTACTGGCATCTGATTTTTTCTAATATTCTTTTTTCACTGCACGTTTTTTCTCTTAGAAACTAATAAAAAACGTTTAAAAACTTTGAGTTTTAATGTTAAAGATATAATAAAGAGTAGAGTGAATAGTACCATAATTGACTTTTTAATGTAAAGATATAATTTTTCGTTAAAGTAAACAGTACCGTGGACCTTTCATTAACACTCCATTTTTTCTTCTCTCTTTTGTCAGTACACGTTCTTTACTTGTTTACAACAGAAAAATTAATCTGTTTGTAAAAAAACATAAAAAAAATAAATATATTAAAACTTATTGTGTGGAATACAAACCTGAATTGTCTCCAATCCTTAATCCATCTCTTGATGGTTCAAAGTTGTCGGCAAGATGAAAACAATATAACCTAATAGAAAGAAGAAACCAACTCAAAAAAAGGAAAACTTATAACGAACAAAGTCACACAAACAAAACAACTCACATCACTAGTATTGTCCTAGAATAGAATTTGTCTTCATTCAATCTGCTCTACACAAAGTGATGCACATATATTACGCTTAATCACTAACCCTCATCCATTGTGTTCCTACCTACCTAAACCGATGCTAGACTGCTTATCGCGGCTAACCTAACATCGAGCGGTTATAAATCATTTTAAAATTTTTTATTTAATATTGAATACAAACAGTACCTGACGAAAACTGACCGTGTGATGTGCAATAAAAGAACACGGTTTACGGATTTCTGGGATCCTTACAAAGAGGATCCGGAAAGGATCTAGACAGATAATTGGAAACCACCAAATCCGCAAAGCAAGCCTACACCTTAAATCGTACCAACTAGGGGCGGATGGAAATAGGGACGATCCTAGGACCAACCGAGTCCAGAAAATATATATGTGAAGTTCTTTTGAGGGCCCTCCGAATGTTTGGTACATGTTCTTTTTTGCTTATTAAATGTTTGATGTAATGCATGCTAGGCATATCTCGACATGTTACGTTAACATCACGTCATTTCTATCACACTCATCAGATTACTTCAGCATATGCTGTTATCTGTTGACATGTGCACAACACACTAACCAAGTGAACAAACTAATTTTTTTTTTTTGCACGCTTCACGCTCTGTTCTTACTTAAAAAATTATATTTAACACTATGACCCGAAGGTTCAAATCTTGTATCCGCCTAGTAACAACGTGAGCAAATGGATGTCTATCCTTTTTTTATTTGAGGTTTGTAGTTTGTGAAGCAGCCCTTGATGATGGCTCAACTCTTTGTTTTTTGTATATATTTTTGGTAAGCAAGTTGACAGTGCATGACCAGCCCTAGTGGAAAAGGAATAATAATAATAACTGATGAGGCATACGACTTCAAATCTAAAGAAGTTTGAAGCAAGAATTCTTCCACTCTTTGAAATTTTGAGATATGACCAGAAACATTGTAGGTTGTATACATATCCTTCCACACGTCTAAGTTTTTCTTGTATATGGTTACTTTATCAATGGATGTATGGTTGTCTAATGTTTGTATTAACTAACCAAAAGTATTAGAAGGAGAATGACATACATATATCTATTCAAATATTAAGATAACAACCTAACATATCGAAAATATTAAACAATCTCTGATGTCGGATAAATTTTAAGATGTGAGTGGATCTACTATTAACACCTCACATTTTTTTTATTTGGCACGTAGGAGGGCATAACGTGAGATTTACATTTGACCTAAAAACACACTTGGGGATCACAAAATTATTTGTTCATTTCAAGGAAAAGAAATGTTTATCTTGTGAATTATGGTGACCCACTTCTCCGGGTCGCGACTTACGTTTGGGTTCGCCCACTTGTTGAAATGAAGTTCGGGTCCAGATCCAACACAATACCCAGCCCAGATCCGACGGCGACGAATAAAAGAAGGAAATGGAAAAAAGGGATGGAGACGCGGGGAATCGAACCCCGTGCCTCTCGCATGCGAAGCGAGCGCTCTACCATATGAGCTACGTCCCCATTGTTGTACCTGGGATTAATTAAAATTATTCTAGTTATTCTATTATATATAAGCGCTTCCAAAGAAACTGAATTTGGTTTACTCCAGCTCCAGTGATGAAATGTGATTAATAATAATCATGTTCTAAAAATCCCTACCTAGGCTATCCGTCGTCCCGATTTATCATGAAACATTTGAAAATTAAGAAATTGTGCCTAGACCTGCTTAGGCGCCTGTCTAGATTGCCTAGACGCCTGTCTAGATTGTCTAGGCACCTGCCTAGCCCGCCCAAGCCCGCTTAGTCACTTGCCTAGGTCGTAACTCACTTAGAAAGAAAATAGATAACTTTCATTTTGCATGTTATTTTTTTTAATAAATTGTAAGAGACTTGTTTAATACTTAGATGAAACACACATTAAATGCTTGTTCCCCATTTTTTCATTATGTTTCAATACTTTATAATGTATATGTCATTCTATTTTGCAGTTTATGATGTATTACATATTTTTTAAGTATAAGCAGACACTTATTTATACAATATATAATAAATTTACTTAAATTCATCTAGACCGCCTAGGCGCCTAGGCGCTAGGCCTCAGCCAGCTGCCCAACTAGTGCTTAGCGTCATTTAGAACCTAGATATTAATTTGTTGTTAATTATTGTTTACCCAACCACTTCCACACAACATTACTGAATTGACATTCTTTATGGCGGTGTTATGATTATATGGTATAAAGATGATAAGGTTACATCACAAAACTAATTTGCAATATGATAAATAGATCAACTACTTATAAGGACATGCAGTATAGATAAAAAAAACAGGAAGTGACATGGAACACGCATGACTGTTGGGTTTCACAAGTGAGATAACCTGCTCTGATACTGTAAAAATATGACAACTTGAATTGATCTGATTCAATGTATATGATAAATATATATTTGAGCTAACGGTCAATACTTCTGTGTTTTTCATCCACAAACTCAATAAATTTAATCTTGGTCATTGATCTTGTTGTCGCTTAAAAGTTATCTATTGGGTGAGTAGTAAGCATTATTTAAAAGGAAATGATAATTTGATTTTCATTAACCAAAGAAAATGATTTATACACAAAGCTAAAACATAATTAAGCTGTAAATAATCAAATAATTAAGCAAACTAATTACAACAACCTTGACTAAAAAAAATTATTGACTTTATACATCTCTAATATAGTTAAGCTCTAACTGGCTTGGCTCTAGATAACTCCAATTGAGTTGAGTCATGAGTTATGTTTTTACTATCCGATATTGACTTTCTTTTTGATAAAGTTATGATTTATCCATAAAATTACTAATAGTTTATTAGAAGAAAAGTCGACCAGAATAAAAATGGAGCAATTGACCCAGAAGAGAAAAGAAGAGAAGAGCAAGACATGAAGTAGGGAAACTACTAAAATGACAAAATTAAGAAATGGAATATGTTTAATAATATGAGATTTTTAATTTTACATAATATAAATAAAGAATGGTAGAAAAGAAACAAACGTCGATATGTCCGAGTGGTTAAGGAGACAGACTTGAAATCTGTTGGGCTTCGCCCGCGCAGGTTCGAACCCTGCTGTCGACGAAATTATATTTTTCCACTTGGGCACCTTGAACTTTTTATTTCATTTTGTTTTTAATATGAATAATACATCAATGTAAACTACAGTATAAAAAAGGTTTATCTTGTCAGTTGTGACATCTGAATAAGAAAACTTGGCGATCAATTGAGAGTTAATTTGTATAAGGTCACAAAATAATTTCGCTAACAGCGCTCTATTGTAGTGATGAAAATCAATTACGTATATGTATTTTGGTGCGAATTTGATCCCTACCAATTTTTTTTCCCTTAACAACTAACAATTTAACCTTTTTGTGTTTTAGGGAGTATCAACACTAGAGATGAAAATTGTTTCTTCACCTTAGTTGAAGAGGAGATAATTATTGTTTGGACCCGATTTTACACTATCGACCCGAGCAATCGAGGCCGTTGAATGAGCAAAATTTTAGACCATTGAAGGACAAAATGGTTGAAATAATATTGTGATTTTAATCATGATATTATCTCTTAGTAATATATTAAATTATTTAAACCTAATATTTGTCTAAATCCCAATTAATTTGGATGATGGTGACTATTGGGATATGCACGGTGTCAGATAATGAAGCAAGCAGTTCAGTTCAAATTGATTTGGATGTCTGGCAGTGGACGTGTAGATTGAAATAGCTTGGAGTGGAGATCAGCATTTGGGATTTGATGATCTTAAAATCATGGTCTTGGATAATGATGAGATAAGGAACCTAGGTAGACTAAGCCTTTTTGCATGGTGATGGATGTTATCAGACGGGTTTAAAGGCTAGTGATGGAGTTTTTGATGATAAAAGCCTAGGTGGGCTAGGTTTCTTATGAGATGTGATAAACCTAACTTTTATTAGGTTTGAAAAGTCAAAGGAAAAATCTCACGGATCAAATTAAATGATATGCTTTAGTTTCTAATGCAGATCAATTTCAGTTCCGCGAATTAGAGTTGTAGTTGGACTCTACAAAATTATCTAGCTGTGCCCAGTAGAAGATATGAATGCTATAAATACAGAGGCAGTGGCAACGAGAAGAAGACCTCCAATTCAACACACAATTGCCATGCGCAAACCTCTCAAATATCTTGAGATTTTTTATTTTCTTTTTCCACCGACACATCTTCAGTTTGGATAAACAACACTGTTGCCGTAGAATCAACCGACCGAGGAGCACCTTCAGTTTGGATAAACAGCACTATGTCGAGGCTGACTGGTTACCTATCCAAGTCTCAGTCGAGAAGGGTTTCCGAATCCTTATGCATAGAGGTCATCTTATTAGCCTTCTCGGTAAAGTAAGGTGTTACGAGTTACGACATTCAGCACATTGAACACCGAGTGATTTTATGATTGGATGCTCACAAGTGAGTTCAGAGTTCGGCATTCTGACGGCCGAACCACATTTACCATCAAGACATACATCACCTTTGAGTACTTGTGTCTATATAGTCTGGTGTCAATTCGACGTGCTTATACTTTCACGAATATAATCACTGTGACCGAATTCAGCGCCGACGATTCGTGAACTTCGCAGAACTAGCAGCCTTGTCTTCAGGCTTAAGAATCCAAAGCCCGAGCCTTGTTCCTTCCTCGGCCGCAATCGCAAGATCAAGAAGTCAGCAACACTCTCAACGCAACATCAACAAATTGTACTCTTCGGCTAGGCTCAACTGACGAGTTGGCACACCCCGTATCAACCAAAGGATGTAGTGAGCTCATTAGTTACTCGGTCTGCGCACCACGTAGGCTTTGTAATTTTTAGGATCAACAATTATTAATGATGATCAAAATAAAAAAGGGTGTGCAAACAACTAAAAAAATGTGTGAAAATCAATTCTCATGTATATCTTGTTGGATTTATCCAATATAAGTCAACCTTTAAGTGGTCTACTACATGTAATAGGAATGTAATATTGGAGAATAATGTTGATTGTGATTTGATCTCCTAAAGATATTAATCCTATATAAGGTGTCTTATATTGGAAATAGGACTGATGAAATCCTTAATTGAATATGATTATGATACTTGACTTGGAGGCTAATAAAGTAAGTTTAGGTTTCCTTTATGGATGGAAACCCTAGCTTTTAGCCTATATATATAAACACCGGTCCCTATAAGCCCTAGAACATAAAACATAATGCGTCCCATAGAGTAGTTGTATCCGGCTAGATGTTTAGAAGATCTTGGTGTTGCCGTGAGCTACTTCTTTTGTGTTCGACTTCCATGGTTGCCGTTGGAATCAGGTCAATCACTCCCTTGTTTGTGTTCTAATTGTATAACCTTATAAGACTAACATATCCTAGTCCTTGCTGGCTTATATATAAGTTATATATGTACAGAGCTGCCCAATAATTGTGGTTTGTGGGTGGAACAACACATATGAAAATGTAGCTTTCAACCATACACACATTGTCAAATAAGAAAGATATATGCGTCAAACTCTAATAAGATATTTGTTTTGTATTTATGCATTAATGAATATGAGTTAAACCATGCAAAAGTATTAAAGATCGATGATTATTATAGTATTACAACTTACTTAATTTGTGATTTATTATTGTTAGGAATCATTAATAAGCATGTGTAAAATGTGCGGTTAGTACGTGTGCATGAGTGTGTTAATTTGTTTTTCATACTATAGCTTATGTTTGAAGCCTTGAACACATAACGAAAGCTTAAAGCTAGTTTAAAGCATGTTACAACATAAATGAAATCTATTCCATAACCAGTTAAATATGCTGTAACAAATTAAGAACGGTAATAAATTAGATAACTAATAACTTAAATTGTAAATGTATTGTTCGTTTGATAACCATTTTGATTTTGATTTAATCTTTGCGTTAGGGATAGAGAGATACGTTGGAGAAATAAGAGATATAAAATAGTGAAGAAAATATAGTTCAAGAGATGCAGAAGAAATACACAAATAAATCATGGAAACTAAAAATCAAAAGTCTCTATAAGTTATTTTTACTTTCGAAATTTTACTTCTACTCTTTCATCTTTGTTTCTCTCTCTTCGTCTCACCTCTTTCTCCAATGTAATTTCTTAATATTTTAAAAACAAAAAATAAAAAACAAAATCCGCAAATAAAATGATCATCCAACGAACATACATATTTCAACAATTAGATACACACACACACACACACACACGTGTCTTAGGGTGCTGTGATCATACTGTAGCTGGCAATGACTTTTTTGGTTGGTCGAAGTCTTCCCTAATGGTAGCACTCAACAACATACACCCCAGAAAACCCTAACCCTTTTAATTTCGTCCCTTTATTTTTTTTTCGTCTTTAATCTGTACGTCACCTCGCAACAAGTCCCTCTCAATCCAGTTTTCTAGTTGACTTGTGATGATAAGAATATTATTTCAAGCTCATCTTATATAGTAAGAACTATGAATTCAAACTACTTGTCACCCCAATTATATGGCCAACATTCTAACCTATATAAATGACTTATGCATATCTTAACTTCAACAACAATCCCATGAAGCTCATGAGACTATAAAAGTAACCATGGCGACGAAAATTTCGCATCTTATAATGACTGATAACGGAATAATAGTTTGTTGGGATCGATACTGAAGGAACGACTTCAAGCTAACAAATCTCTCTATTTTGCAACGGAATAATAGTTTGTTGGGATCGATACTGAAGGAACGACTTCAAGCTAACAAATCTCTCTATTTTGCAATGGTCCAGAATATTAATTAAAAAAATATAACAAAGACAAATAATTCGCCGAATAATGTTAAACTTTCATCGGTATAGTTTTTGTCTGATAATATTGAATTTTGTTGGGAGAAATAACCTTTTCTGTCAAATACCAGGTTCACCCTGGAGAAGTTTTGCCACGAAAAAAACTCTTTTTTTGCAGTGTACGTAGCATTGTTTAGTGGGTAATTATTACTTTACCACTCTGAAGTATCGTGGTTTTTAAACTTTCATAGATAAGTTTTTTCTTGATCGGTTAGGCTTTCCGTTAGAATCTCCATTAACGCATGACGTGACGTCCACGTGGATAATGATTGAATACCAAGTGTCAATCTGACCCCACATGGATATTAAAAAATTAAAACAATAAAAAAAAATTGAGTTTAAAATGAGAATTACTCTTGTTTAGTTTAACTAGCTAGCCAATCAAAATTAACACGTATGCAACGTGTTACCAAAGTTTACACGATCGACTTGTATTAGAGTGCATGCTGCATAATAACATGCATAATATTGTAGCCTAGTTGATTCTTTTGTGTTTGTTAGGCCATCTTTAATCGAAGGTTCGTCAAAGAGCTCGTTTTAGCTTTCTGGTCCTCTAAAAAATTAATATTTTAATAAACAGTGCATAACCATATTTCTTACCATCTCCAACTGAGAGCCAAAGGGCTAAACAAATTAAATGTAATATAATTAAATATTTAAAATAAATTATGAAAGAAACATGCTAATGAAGGGAACTACAACTACACTTATATTATAATTGTCCCACATCGACTGTGAGAGATAAATGAGCAAGGAAACGTGATTATAAAATGAACACCCCAAGTTTAACCAATTTACCTTTCTAGGCCCAAAAAATCTAAACCTATAATTAAATATTTATTTGAAAATTTGGGCCCCAAAAAAAAAAAAAAATGATGTCAGCATGTGACCTGGTCGGGGGTTGGCTGGTTGGTTGATTTGAGTCAACCGGTTGGCCCTTTAACTTATTTTTTGTTCAGTGAAGCCAATGAGTTATTTGACCTGATTTTTGGTTGAAGACGATTTTCAAGTTATTTTCGGTTGGCCCTTTAACTTATTTTTTGTTCAGTGAAGCCAATGAGTTATTTGACCTGATTCTTGGTTGAAGACGATTTTCAAGTTATTTTCGATGCTCTGAATCATTCTATATGACCTTATTTTCTGCCTTCAGGGTCTACGTTTCAGAGCCATTCATCTGCAGAGCCTGCCTGCTGTCAACAGCAGAGATTCCTCACCGTCTTCACATTAAATTGGCAGAAAACTTCTGAGACACGTCAACCATGCAATTTATTTTACATTTACACTCACAATAGTACTAATGCTAATTAATCAACTTAATTAGCACGTACATAAGATAAAATACACCGATCTTGAAGCATACATGACCTAGCTTCCTAATTACTAAATTCCCTCTCTACCATTAACTTTGACAAACAATAAGAAATCTACAAAAAAAATTCATCTAAACTTCGAATGAACTAATTCAATTTTGATGTAGAGAGAAAAGTAAACTGCTTTAATCAACTTGATTAAGCTATTTTCCCACTCTACCATTAAATGATTAAGTTGGACCCTTAAACCCTAATTACTAGGAAACGGTGCCCTAATTAACTACACGTGCACACTTGCCTCCTTTTCAACGCCGACACTTGAACATCATGCCATGTTTTCCTGATTTTCTAGCCAAGTGATGAGCTCATGCTATCATCACCTGGTTGTCACGCAATGCTGGTGCTGGCTCCACATAGGCAAGTTGCCGTGATGGTTGTGGTGGTGGTGATGGACATGGTGGCGGTTCACCAGATTTTGACACCGGCGAAACCCTTCTCCTCCTACCTTCAGCTTCCACTCACCAACACTCTCCTCCTCTTTCTCCTCACTAATTATTTCCTCCTCCTCATCAATAAATTCTTCTTCTTCTTCTTCTTCTTGTACTTCTTCTATGCCTTCTAATATTGGTTCTTCCTTTTCTTGGATGTGAGGTTCGTGGCTAATAAGATTCAATCTCAACCGTCCACCTTCACGATAAGCTCTCAAAATCTCAGGTCTATAAATCTTTACCTCCGTAAGCTCCAACCTCCCATCTTTCCTCTCAGGCCTCAGATAATACCTTGGATGTCCATTTTGGTTCAATGATGAAAGCGGGGGAGGAAACTTCTTGGGCTCCACTCTCCTCTCCCCCATCCTCGTCCATTTCGGCGCTCTCTTAATCGAGTGCCTCATCATCCTCAAACATGCATCCTCCTCGATACCATCTTGATCATTCTCATCAACTTTCTCAGGAACATGGCTAATTCTTTCAAAGATCTGATGATCGTCCACCAGCCTCTCGTCCGAGCTTTCAAACCCTAGACTCTCCGTGCACGACATCAAGCCGTCCACAGCACCTCCTATGTCGTCTATGAACCCAAACCCACCTGGATCTCTCTTTGTTCCAAATTCAAACACCACCGGCGACAAAGCTGGCGGTGACGAATCTGATGACGAGGAGGAGGAGGAGGAAGGGGAGGCGGAGGAGGAGGATGATGATTTGATGGATGAAGATTCCAAAACAAGGGGTTGGCTTTTCATGCGATCGTTATCGGTTGCGGCGACCAATCCTAGTAACCCTCCTCCTCCTGATCCTGTAGAACTTAAGGGCGAAATGTAATGGTGGCATTTTAATGGGAGCTTTTCATGAGCATCAACGGAGGTGGGTTTTGTTGTTGCTGTTGTGGGGGTAGTATCTGTGGTGAGGCCAAGGATAGAGTGAGGGGTGATCTTTCTACAAAAGCTAATCATCATAATTGGATTTAATACAATTACAAAATTACTAAACTTATTATGTTTATATAGATTCAGTAGAGAAATGAATAGAAGGGTGAGGAGGAGGAGGAGAGGAGAGGAGAGTAGTAATACATAGAAGACAAAGAAGAATGGAAGAAATTGGGTTTGGTTTTGTAATTTGTAAAGGAAAAATGGGGAGGAAAGAGAGGAGTGCGAATGGTATTAATAATATAGACCTCTCGCCAAAGATAGGGCAGCCAAAATGCAGGATGAGAGAGAGAGAGAGAGAGAGAGAGGAGAGAGAGAGTAGTGGGTGGTACTAGTGGGAAGAATGGTGAAGAGAGTGCCAGCGTGACAAAAGAAAAAGGCCAAAAAAAAGAAAGAAAGGAAAAGGTCGTGTTCGAAATGAAAGAAAAATTATATGAGCTGTAGTGAAGGAGAGGAGAGAGCAAAGTATGCCGGGTCCCACGTAAGACGGGCTCAGACTTCGGTCACATCTGCCATTATCTTCCACCAGTCTGCCTAAGCAATCCTCATCACTATCTTCTCTCAACAATTACTTGTTTTTCTCTCCTTTTTTCCTTCGTTTTTTGTTATAGTTTATTTCGTTTTATACCAGTGATATTCTGCATTGTCATTGGTATCAATATTCCATTGTAAATTTTGTTTGTAAAAAGGGATCAGTTAGTGGTTTCGTCATCACAATCCATCCTTTCAAGGATTTGAAAAATTCATAGAGTTATTTCAGTTTTTCTGTAACCACTATCGTGTGATTCATCAGCTTCGAGAATATTCCACTGTATAACTGAAAATAATCAGAATAATTTACTTTATTTATTATTTAAAGATAATTTTAAAAACATTTATCTAATTTATTGACTATTTGGTCATTCTTATAACAATTATGCTAACAAGTGATCAACCATCAATTTCTTTTATTCATGACTAGCTAACTAACTTTTAAATCAAATTAATTTTTTTTAACGTAATTTTTAATAAAGAGAATGAATCATAAATATATCATTATTTTACGATAAAATGATGTTACTTTAGTAAAAAAAAAAAGAGAAGAGAAAACATTAATCTTGTATAAGTAGTCATCTAAAGTACGAGTGTGTGATTCGAAATTACATGAAGAGAATGAATGTTCATATATGAGATTCCATTTCTCAATATATGCAGCCTGTCAAAATTTCCTTTAGTATTTTGACCTCATGTCAAGTTTCAACATTGACGTGAGGGGCAGATGTGTATATATCAGATTACTGAATGTTTGCTGCCATATCTATGATTGTGCTACCTGGCACTGCCACACTTGCAGCTGGTGCTCTGTCCGACCTTCACACTGCTTTATATATTCGGTTAATTATTGATGGCAATAGATCTCTATCAAATTCATCAAATTGGCCTTGATCTTCGACGAAGAAAACATGGTTTTAATGAAAATCCAATAAAGCAGTAAGCATGCAGTTTAGTTTACATCGCAGGGTTAGCCTTATGAGATTAATCAAATTAGGGTTAGGGTTAGAGAATAGGACATAATAAAGGTCGATATTGTGGTTCTGCTCCACGTGCATGGGGTATTGGGGTGGACCTCCTGTGATTTGTTTGAACTTTGGTGACTCGATAGCATGACAAAAGCAGTACGTGGCATACAGCCCAGAAATTAAAATTGTCGAGTATAACGATCCCATAATCACGTGATATAATTCGATAAATAAAAGATGTGCTTGAAATTTTATGTACTGAAAATACATAATATTGATAAATAAATACACGCGTTGAAATAATGTGAATAGGTTTTTTTTCATAAAAGTGTCATGAGGGAGAGAAAAAGGAAGAAAGAATTAAACTTAAGATCTTTTGATGTATAGTTAAATGTTTTTTAACTGCTTAAACTAAAAGCGTTTATGGATAATTAGAGCGATACCACCTAGAAACACATCCATATGCATTCTGACTTGCGCACTGCTATTCCCACATCTGTTTTTACTATTCCTGCACTTTTGCCATTTTTCGTCATTGATCTTCTTTCAATTCATTCAATCCGACAGTCGAAAATTAAGATAAATATGTAATAAGTAAAAATAAGGGTCACCCCTTCCAACTTAAGCAGAAGCACTAACTTATGTATTTGTAAAAGGTAAGCTATTGATATTGGCATTTGGCAAGGACAATTTCCGCCGAAGGGGACATTGGTGCGACATGAAAATCTTAAAAGGTATGCAAATATCCCAAATATCCCAAATATCTAGATATAAGGTACTAAATCGAAAAAAAAAATATCCTAGTATTTTGACAGGGACTTTTCCTTTAAAAAATAAGTTTCAAAGAAAGAGCAACGAGATAAATTGTACTTTTTCTGTGAGTCTACGTTATAAGTTGCTTTTTCTATGAGCTATAAGCGACCACATAGTGATTGTGACTCACGTTTTAATTAGGAAGTAAAAAAGAATTGGTTAATTATCTGAGATATAGATATCTTATAGACCACTAGAAATTGTGCCCATGTTTTGTTGTTGGCGTTGAATGTATTAACCGCATCAGACATGAATAGTTTTCATACAAAACAACAAAAAAGATGTTGTAGCACCTAAAAATCAATGAATAATTGGGACATCTTACTCATATGTGAGCCTCAATCTCTATTTCAAATCCCTATTGAACAAAAGTCATATTTCTTCTTCAAATTGAATCGACATCATTGATCAAGCAATTAAACATTCATACTGACAAATAATTGACCCAAGAGTTGAGCAGATATATAGAGATTGGCAAAAGGGGAAGCAATTAAACCATATAATTTAACAAAAGTAAAGGTCACCTCAACTCTTCGAATTAAACTATATATCTAATTTACCAGAAAATTTTGTAAAATTGACAGTTTACCTGATATAAGCACTTAATTTTCCTATTTAAAATAGTTTACCCATTCTTGATAAGTAAAATATAGCTTAAGCTTAATTTATTAACAGCTTAATACAGTTCAAAAGTACTTTCTATTGTGGCGAGAATGATAAGCTAATAGCCAACCCACCTTTACTTTTTACTTTTTCCAGATGCATATGTACAGTTTACCTACACCCTTATACCATGTGTCTTGAGCTGTTATCTATCCTCCACTTGCAGCATTTTCCCTCCTTTGCACGTGAACCTCGACTGCAAACGATTTCATCTGTTACCGGTTAATGGAGATGTCTTCTGCACGACTGGCCTAAAAAGAGGGAGAAAAAACAGTGTTAGGAAAACACATTATACTCAAAATCATCACACTAAAGATATTTTCAAACAAATCACAATCCATCACACAAAGTGCATCCAACTCCAAGGCAAGACTAAGCAAACACACAAAATGTATAAAAACCCAAGAAAAGTAGAAGTGTAACAATATTGTTATGCATCTGTATTTATTCACATAGATAACGAATATAAGAATTTGATGATCTTGTTACTCAAGCTCCAAGGAAAAATAAAATAAAATTCAATGGTTAAAATGAATCCTTATGCAAAATGTATTCCTCACATCTATATCATTCAAGCACAACGAAATTCAATGATTTCAAAAAAAAACATCCTGATTCACTTGAGTTCAGGACATTCAAGTACAACGTAATTGAAATATATGCAAGAGATTCCATGAAAACATAACATACAAACAAAACTTAATTGAAAGTAGAAAGAAAAACTTGGACATGAAAACCGAAGCTAACATTTGTAAGGGGTATAGTTTACTCCCATTATCATACTTTCTTTCTCTCACTGTCACAATCCCACCCACCGAATCAAAGATCCGCACAAATGGGTGACATCCTCACTCACAATGTTTCTCTTCTCTTCCTATTGTATAAACACATTGTACCATAAATTGGCTCTACATGAGAGAGGGAGTGAGGGAAGAAAGAGAGTGCAAAGAGAGAGAGAGAGCGCACAGAGTCATAAACTGAAACATCCCAAAGTTATAAAAGCAATCGTACAAAGTGAGCACCAATGATATCACACCAGTACAAAGAGCATATCACTCACTAGATAAGCTAACTTGAAATGATAGGGAAATAACCTTCACTGAGATTTTCAATCCACTGAGACAACCCAAATGAATAGAGAAAAACACAACTAATGTGACATCCCACATCGCCCAGGGGAGTGATTCTTAAATGTATATTCTCATCCCTACCTAGCACGAGGCCTTTTGGGAGCTCACTGGCTTCGGGTTCCGTAGGAACTCCGAAGTTAAGCGAGAAGGGGGCTAGAGCAATCCCATGATGGGTGACCCACTGGGAAGTTGCTCGTGAGTTCCCAAAAACAAAACCGTGAGGGCGTGGTCGGGGCCCAAAGCGGACAATATCGTGCTACGGTGGTGGAGCGGGCCCGGGATGTGGTGGGGGCCCGGGCCGGGATGTGACATTTGGTATCAGAGCCTAACCCTGATCGCGAGTGTGCCGACGAGGACGTCGGGCCCCTAAGGGGGGTGGATTGTGACATCCCACATCGCCCAGGGGAGTGATCCTTAAATGTATATTCTCATCCCTACCTAGCACGAGGCCTTTTGGGAGCTCACTGGCTTCGGGTTCTGTAGGAACTCCGAAGTTAAGCGAGAAGGGGGCTAGAGCAATCCCATGATGGGTGACCTACTAGGAAGTTGCTCGTGAGTTCCCAAAAACAAAACCGTGAGGGCGTGATCGGGGCCCAAAACGGACAATATCGTGCTACGGTGGTGGAGCGGGCCCGGGATATGGTGGGGGCCCGGGCTGGGATGTGACAACTAATAAACACGAGGACAAATAACCTGAGAAGGAGAAACAAACTTCTATGCACAAAATTTTTGTGCAAGTAAACAAACATCCAGTTGTACTGAGACTTGAATGATCCATGTTTTCTAATATAACTTAAACCCAACCATGAATTTACAAAAATTTTGGGTAGAATTATTAACATAACTCAGAAAAAAGACTCAACTTTGCAATTAAATTTCTTACGTAACTTAAACCCGACAAATTTAACTAATTAGATTCATCCACAAAATAGATTTTAACATAATCTCAAAGAGTTTCTTCTAACCAAGTAAACCATTACTCAACAAA